TTTCGACTAAGCTACACGGCCCCCCAGCGTTAATCCAACTGTTATGGTTTCTTCAAATTCCCACCCAAAATAAGCAAACAGACTACTCATGTCTTTGACAAACTCCTCCCACACACCAAGAACCTCCCACTTTATCACTGCCCATCTTCTCCTGCTCCTCTGTGGTCTTCAGCTCCTCCTGGGGGGATCCTGAGGCGCTCCCGGACCAGAGAGGATTTATAAACCCTACAGGAAGTTCTCCCAGTGGGACAAACCCAGAAAACCTCCAGATGACCCACCTCATCTGAATTATTTTAATGCAGAGGAGAATCAGTTCTTTTACTCCTCTGAAACCATCAGTTGGTAGAGCTGATGCCTCTCAGCAAGAAGGTTGCCGGTTCTAATCCTGGCCCGGGGACCTTTCTGGGTAGAGTTTGCATGTTTTCTCCGTGCATGTGTGGGCTCTCTCCTGGCACTCCGGCTTCCTCACACAGACCAAAAACATGACGGTTAGGTTGTCGCTGGGTGTGAGAGAGTGAATGGTTGTCTGTATGTCCGTGTACCCCGTCCCTCACACTGTGACTGCTGGATATGGGCACCAGTGACCCCCATGACCCTGAAAGGAAGAAGCGGGTATAGATGATGGACGGACAAATGAACCTGCTGCTCCATAGGTCAAATGACTTCATCCTCTAGGTAAATATATGCAATTCAAATTCAAAAATACTTTATTGATCCCAGAGGGAAATCAGGTAGATATTAGGTATTTATAAAAAGTTAAAGAAACATTTTTTTTCCACCCAGAAAAACAAATGTATTTAGAATTTGATGCCTGTAGTAATTTACAAAAAGTTGGACAAAAGCAACAAGATGAACTACAGTAGTAAATGTAATTTAATCATCAAACATATTTATAATAAACTATCAAAATGCTTTTAGAGGTGGTGCTTTTGAGTCATGAAATCAGGGATACCGTTCATGAAAGWGGAGGAAAATCCTCCAAAAAGGCAACATTTGCAGAGGTTCAGGGATGGATTAGATCTTTAATCAGGTCTTAAAACTCATTTGATAATAAAAAAAAAAAAAACAGGTTGAATTTTACAAAACGAGGATGAAGCACCTTTATTGTTTTTATTTTTGTACCGACTCTCGTTTGACATTCTGCGWCCCGACGTCCGTCTCCGTCCTTCAGGTGCACCTGGGGGACGCGTTGACGGGGCGGCGGTTTCACACCTTTTGCTGCGGCGCGCCCACCCCACCCCCCTCCGCAGACAGCAGCCTGGGAAACCACAGGCCCACCGGGCTGGCGCCAGGCTGCGCGGCTCGGAGCAGGGCAGCCGGCCCAATCAATACCTCTGCATTTCCTGTCCATTTGCTCAGGTCTCTTCATTAATAATTACTGCTCTGGCGGAGCTTCGATGTGCTCGCTTGGATGGGGCCGAGGGGAGAGGCTGAGGTGACCTTTCCACGCCCCTGAACCACACACACACACACACACACACACACATTCCTCATTCGCGTGAGTTTCTGCAGGACCTTTTTTTTTGGTGAACCTTTTCCACTTGTCGAACCTCCACGACGCTCCAGTTTGCAGGAGCGAGCGGTTCTTCATGACGTATTAAAGCTCGAAGCGCATCCTAAACGATGTTCTGCGTCTGGTGCCGACAAAAAACAACTAAATATTTGGCAGCGTGCTCGAGCAGAGTGGTTTGTTTTTTATATTTGATGATTCCAGTGTTCGGGTCTTTATTTCTCCTCCTGAAGCTCCTGCAGACACACACGCGTCTCCGTTTTGATGTGTGTGCGTTCAGGTCAAAATTTGGTGACGGCGAAGGCGATGTTCTCCAAGGCGGAGCGAGCCTCCGAGGAGGGGAAAGCCTGGATGGCCTCCAGAGCCCTGTTGCTATGGTAACAGCACAAGTCCACGGCCGAGCTCACGCCTTTCTCCGACTTCACCGCCGCCAGGAGCTGCAGAGGGATGAAAACACACAAACACACACACGTTAGTTTGTCACGTCTGTGTCAGAGCACTGCCACTCCAGCTGTCAGCGTAACAAAGTGTCGGAGAAAAGTTGGAGGGGATTAATTGCAGGAAAAATAAAAGTAAATAAACAAATTTGGGTTCCGCTTCTGGCAAACACCGACGGCAGGTTTCCCCACATTTAAGCTGCGAGTTTTTACAGCAGCCGAAGCTCACAGATCTTCTGACCAATCAGCCGACGGATCGTCACAGGAACGACGCGCCGCGGATTTTAACGAGAATCCAGATCGCTTAAAAAAATGAGATAGTGAAAGTTTTCCAAAAATACAGCAAAACCTTGTAATAATCTTAAAAAAAAACAACAACCTATTTTTAATGCAGAAACTTTAAAAGAAGTGCAAAAAGTATCARGAAAAAATAATAGGTAACATGGTAACTACACAGTTGACTGCTAAGCAAACTCATAAAAAACACTAAAAACCAGTGTTGTATAAAGTACCACAAAGTGAYACTTGAGTAAAAGTACAAGTATCTTACTAAAAAATTACTTTAGTAAAAGTTAAAGTCTCCTTTAGGAATATTACTAGAGTAAAAGTCTTAAAGTATCTGATATTTTTGTACTTAAGTATTAAAAGTAAAAGTATTGATTTAAAAT